GCAAGCGTATCCTCCTTCTCTCTTTCTCTCTCTTTCTCTCTCTCTCTCCTCCTCCTCCTCCTCCTCCTCCCCCTCCTCCTCCTTCCTCGCGTACCACGGCTCCTCTTTCACCTCGTTCGACACCGTAAACCCGCACTCTAACCCGGACCACGCGAGCCCGCGACTAGCTCGCGAGCGTCTGGAGGAGCTGCCTTTGTATTCTTATTGGCCGCGGTTGCCGGCGAGCCAGCCTTTTATCGGGAGAGGTCAATCCACCGGGAACGTATCTAATCTTTCCAGGGTATCTGGACAATTTGTTTCAAGCCTCGCTTTCCTGGCCCTGCTTTCACGGATCCGTGATCCGATCCGTGTTTCTTCTCTCCTCGCCGGTTAAAAACCGATGGATTTCGCTCTTTCCTTCTCGTTTCGATAGCGAGCGTTAAAAAGAAAGAAAAAAAAAAAAAAAAGAAAGAAAAGAAGAAAAAGAATCGATCGAAGGAGGGTGTACAGGTTTTCAGGATCTTTGGATCGTTGGATCGAGATGTTTACGGTTGCTTTACGATACCTCGCGTTTCGCGTGAAATAACCAGTGAAATCTTTGAAAGGTAAATGTTCGAGAAATCAGGCTCGAACGAATGTTTGATAAACCGATTAACACGTTAGGATTCTTTCTAACGTTTGATCCCGCTTTTCGTATTCGGGTAAGAGGATTGTGCGACTTCTTGCTCGCACGAATTACGAAGCAGTTGATAATTCGATCACCCTGATGAAAGTGAAAGAGCTTCTAATTAATGCTCGTAATAAATGACGTTGTCGCTCTCGTTGTGAAGATGATTCAGATTTCGCAAAATGACGCGAATCCCTCCCCTCCCTTCCTTGTACTCGTAATACTAATTACGATGTCACCGATCTTTTGCTAAATTCTGCGAAAGAGAAAGCTGCACCGACTGCACACGTTGGACCAGTTTTAGAGTGCACGTTGCCTGGAAACTTTCAAATTAATTTACGTCCGATTCGTCGTCCGCGTGATTCATAATACCACTACGCCACTTTCCACGCTTACGCCGAGATATATGATATTTAATCGCGGATAGATTAATGGAGGTACACATCTCGCGTTTAATACCCTCGAAATTGACTCGCAGATTAATTGATTCATAGATCATCCGTTTTCTGCCTAGTATCCGAGTGATTATTTAGTTTATTTAGGATAATAAAACATTAGGAAGAAGGGAGCTCTCTCTCTCTCTCTCTCTCTCTCTCTCTCTCTGTTCTAAGGCACCACCGATCTTAGCGTGATGGTGGATGGAAAAACGAAAAGGAAAATTATTTCGATTAAACGGTGAAAGCGTCGAGTTAATTTCTCAAAATCTTCTCGAAACATTTTTTCCACGCTAACTCGTGAAAAACTCGACACGTGGGATTAATGGAATATATACGAGTTTAAAGGTGTGTTTCACAGGGGATTCTAATCCAATTTTCGAATCTTGGATTTTTTCTACGATGTTGTCGAAAATGGATAGGATTTAGAAAAATATCCTAGGGAGAAGATAATACCATTAATGGAAGAATCATTACAAACTATAAGATTTAAGATTTCCACAAAGCGAAACAATAATAAAACAAGCAAGAAATTTCATCAAAAAAAAAAAGCGACGATGAAAAATCCAACATGGATTAAGAAAAAAAGAAAAATCGAATTTTTCACAACGATAAAAATAAATCTCGTCATCCCTTATCATCCGCGAATAAGGATGACTTTTAAATTTCTCGAATATTTAAAATTCCGAGAACGACCTGTCACAAGTTTAATAGCATTATGTACATGAATATTGCACGAATCCATTGCTTTTAAAACAGTTTCAGCTTCGTTAAAAATAATCTTTCGATCTTTCGAAAAAGCAGAAAAAAAAAAAAAAAGCAGAAACTCTCGAGGATTAAAAATTCGATCAACGGATTCGCGAGGAGGAAAGAGGCGAAACACGGAGATGCCGGCACACGACCGTCCCTACTCACCAGTGAAAGGGTTAATTACGATCGCGAAACCGGTGAGACGCTCGGCTCGTGTGGGCGAACCGATGCGAGCTTTAAATCGAAGATATCTCGGTACGCGATTATGTGTCGCGCACGGCTGCAAGACACACGGTCCTACTTTCTCTCACGCACGCACGCTCACCCACCACCGATTACCAACGTCGTCGTCGTCGTCGTTCGTTAGGTGTGCCTGCATACGAGACGCGTCGATCGATCGGCAATATAACGATTCCCAAGGCTCGAACAGGTTCGAACAGACGCATCGCGACAACGAAGAAAAATCGTGATGCGTCTATAAATAGTATCTTTCTCTTATTCGACCTCCCGCTCTTTCTCGCCGCGGTTTGTCTCATAAATGGCGAACGTTAGGGGGAGAAAAAAAAAAAAAGAAAAAAAGAATTTACCGCTCGAATGAATTATTCACGAAGGATATCAATTATCTTGTCGAGGCATAAAATAAAAACACGTGACCGAACGATCGTTGTAATTAGCCCATAACATATAGGAATTTCATGCCTAATTGTGGCGAATACCGATGTTTAATGCTACCTATTAGCAATGACATCACAACTACGTTCTCTCGTTAAACCGGAAAGTGGGTCGTTTCGTTATGGAAAATCTCGCGAAACTTCTTCACGCCTGCCTATACGCGGTTACATGTGTAACGATTCTCTCGAGTCACCATTCTTTCGCAACTCTTCTAAATCCCTCCGATTCTCTCCATTCGCAAATTGCGCAACGAGGAAATATATCCGTCTCGACAGATCGATCTGTACCATACGATAGATCTTTTTCTTTTTTTCCTCGTTTTTTCCCCGAGACAACGGAGAGTCGCAATCCTCTCCGACCTCTTTAAACGTCATTATACATCCGGAATTACATTACATCAAATTAGATAGAAATATTGTTTGGACAGAAAAGCATACCGCGTAAATTTCTGGTTGACGCGAAACGATGGCTCGAAGATAAGATGATGAGGGAAGAGAAGGAACGCGAGTGGTAGTTAATTCATGAGAGCAAATCGTGGAGGAACGGAGAGCAAGTGGCTGGTGTGGCTGCACGTGGTGGCACGTGGAGAGGCGTGGTTCGTGGGAGGGCCGTGTACACCGGTGTAATCCACTTGGCACACGCTGTTCGGCTAACCCTACTCTTTCTCGTCCGTTCGCTACCCTACCCTGGCTACCTCTGCCTTTACCCTGCCTACGGTGCTGCCGGTCGCTAACGTTGTAGAAGTTAATCGAATCCTTCCGTGCACGTGCACACGGCTCAGGTGCAGCCTGTTTCCTCTAGTATGCGCTCCCGTAGGTGGGATCGGTACCACTCGCGCCTCTCCTCCTCCCCAGCCCTCGCTGATCCCCGCTGTCTGATAGGGCTCATTGTTTTGGACCGAGCTATCTTAATTGACAAGGTGCAACCACCTTGCCACCGGTCGCAACTTGGAGGGAATGGAAAAGGTTAAAGAGAAAAGGAGAGAGAGAGGAGAGAGTGGGTTAACAAAGGGTTAATGCGTTTGCAAGTTTTTCTTTGGGCAACGAAATGCACACTATATATGCTCGATCGACTTGACTACGTTTAGATTTACGACTCTGTATACAGATTTCCCTAGCTAGGCAAGATAGGATAGATACTTATCGGGTGCAGCCGCCCCCCCCTTTTAATTCTCCATAACCGGTCCCGTAATCGTATACAATCGCGTCGCGCACCCCTCCACACCCCTTCCAAGATTAATCTCAGCTATATACGGGTGAGATCCGCTATGTTTTACGAGCTGGTGAAAACCATTGGGCGGTCCTCTCGATACTCGTCGCGAAATTGAATCGAATCGGTTTAGGTGACCGTGACTATCTCGCGTTCGCATCTTCCGAAAAGAGGGTGGGGAAGAACGAACAGCGGATAGGATGCATCTGTTTGGTTCAAGTTAAAGACCTCGTTAATTTCATCTCTCTGTTGCCTATTTGTTTCTCGCGTCGCGTATAATTCAGAAAAATGTGTATAATATGTAATTTGGAAACGACAGTTAAGTATCATTGAGCATATTTGTTTGAGATTCGTCTGATGAAAAGCGATATCTCTTCGTTTTCGACGGGAATATACTCATCCCTCGGGCGTTAAGGGATAATATCGTGTAATAATAATCGAGCAGGGGGGTACGATGGTTGCCTGCATAGGCTCGGTAGTATTTTAAATGCCAATGATTTCATGTCTCCCTGGGGTGTCGAAGCTACCCTATATAGGACGAAACGTGGACGTCGAGGACCTCAGTCGACGCCGAGAATTCGACGATTAATAAGTTAAGCGGACTTATTTGCGACAACGGTAATTTAAAACCGAGTAAAAAATTCGCGTTCGAAAAATTCAGAAATTCCGTGTGAAAGTAATTTGAGAATTTGGATATAGGATCGTCGAAAAATTTGCTCGAAAAGTCGATCTGTGCGTCGAATTTAATTCGGACTCGATTTGCACCCCGATTAATCGCAGAGATGATCACCATGGACACCGGTCACTCTCAATATCGAAGATATTGTACGTAGAAGCCATCGAACAAATTTCCATCTCATCCCCTTACATCCTGGTAAAAGTAACGATCGTTCGGGATATCTCAGATCGAACAGACAAGAAATAGTACGTTGCTGTTGTACGTCGAAAAGTTAACGTTTCTCATTGTTTCATCGTGGATCGATAAAAAAATTCGGGTTCGTTTTAGAGATCGAACTTTTCGTCCGTTGATCCTCGATAGAGACACCCCTTCTGCCCTCCCTTTTATCGAAAAGTGGAGGAAAAAAAGAAAAAAAAAAATAGAAAAAGTCTATTGTAGTGTAAATCACACAGTTCGTCTCTGATAATTGAGTTCACGAGACGCGTAACAAGGGTTGGGGTTAACGTTTGCACGATTTCTTTATTTTTTATATATTTCGGGATCCCCGAAGAAAGAGGCTCGTTTTCCTATTTGTTCGCAGCTTGAGGACGCGTGTTGGATTCTGTTGCAGGGCAACTTCATTCGCCGAACGGCGACAGCGATAACAGCAACGGTAGCCAACGTGCGGTGGCTATTACGCGGAACGACGTAGAGCAACAGCAACAGCCACATCGGCAGCGGCATCAACGGCAGCAAGCGGCAGCTACCGTTCCAGTTCTCGCCTGCACGAATCAATCTTCTACAACCCCGACGACAACCGCGTTCACGGTGGCGTCAAGTATGCTTCTTCTACAGACACAGGTAACGTAACGCGTTAATAGAACTCTTCCCTCTTGTTTCTTTTAATTATTAATTATATAATCAGGTTCGAGATTCGCTCGAAAGATTGGCGCACGTGTGACATTATCTCGCGACATCAATTATTTTCTCTTTTTCTCTTCGCAATTCCAATCTCTCTATACTTGTCTCTCCCTTTCTCTCTCTTTAATTTCACTTCGTTTCACATTTATTTCTTTTTTAAATTTCTCGTTAACGTATCTTCGAATCGTTTCCCAACTTCCTCCTTATCTATTATATATTACCATTATTTTCTCATTTGTCACTTAATACCATGAAATTTACGACAGATTGGACTCCGTATTATTCGATGCAACAAAGTTGTTAATGATAATAATTGAACGTTATTGCGTGCAAAAGAAAAAAAAAAAAAAGAAAAAGAAAAAGAACGCGTTTCCTCAACGCGATCGGAATTTACGTGAACGTTATTCGACGGAGCCAACCAGTAATTATCCCAGTATTTAGTGGGGCGCACGAAACTTTCACTATTTCGCTATCTTATCTGGCCCCGTAGTCTTCGAAGTCCGCGAGTCTGGCTCGACTCAACAACAAGATCTGCCCTCCTACGTCCCGACGTTTCTTGATCGTCATCTGCATTCGCTTATCGTGCACCATCTGCATTCCTGCCCACGTACCCGGATCTCCAGTGTCGTCCTACCTGTTTCTGTCCCCACCCCTCCTCGCATTTTCCTCGTCGGAAAGTATTTTCGATCCCGGGAACCGTGTCGCGGGATCGTAATTAATCCAATCCGCGAAAATTAACGTATACCGTTATATATGGAGAACGGCACGATTCAATATCATAACGGCGCGATAATAATTGTTGGCGGGTAGTTTCGTGGGGATGATGAGGAGGGGTTGAACGACTCGCGGAGGCCGTTTAGAAGGCCTCCAGTCAGGATTATGGTAGACCGAAGCTTCGATCGCGAGGGATACTCGAGGGAGCGATGAACGAAATGTCAGCCCAGAAGCGGAACCAACCCGGCAAATTGAATATCCAACCCCATCCCATTTCCCTCTTACCGGTATCCTCCAATAAGGTAGCTCGTCAGACGTTTTTTCCACGTCTTTGCCGTGTTCGCCTCGTTTACTCGACGAATTTTGTTGCTTCTCTTGGAGGAAAAGAAAAAAACAAATAAATTTGTCGTTTTTCGATTATCATGTTTTCCTCCCCTCGATATATTTTTAATATCACGAATATTATCGAAATATACACCGATGGTTTTAAGTAAAACGATATATTCGTAATAATATTCGAGGGGATGAGATGATCGTTTATAGCAACGGAGGAGAAACGGTTAAAAAAATCCAAATCTGTCGTTGGTTCGTAGTTTAACGATAATGAAATTAGAGTCACGTGGAACAGATTGGATAATCGTAATCGTGATTTCGGATGAAAGGTTTTCGATTTAGATTCGATTCAAGGAGGTAGAAATCGAAGCGGCGAGTTATAGACAACACGCGATACGAGAATCCGCTTCGTTCCTCTCCGATATCCTCACTGCGCACCTCAACTGTACATCGATGTCTCGACAAGGCTCGCGATTGTGGTCGAACAATGTTACCGCCTTGCAGTCGAGTGCTTCGATTTGCCACTCGCACGAGCTCTCCCGCCCTTGTCTGGCGTTCGTAGAGACAACAGAAAAAGGGAACACCTACCAATCTTCCTCTGAGTAAAAAAATAGTGCTTCGTCAATTCGAACGGCTCGAGTTATCGAAGGAGGATCGAAGAATTTCGGCTCGGATTCGAGTGGACGATCGAGCATCGATCGAGAATCGTGGCGTTTTTAACTCATCGCGCGACGAAATTTTTCGAAACTCTGCCAATTCGATCAAAGATTTATCGTGATAATCAAGAATGTTCGCTATCGCAAAGGACACGGTTCGATACGAATTTTCCAGAGCCCCTTCGGATGCAGTACCCTGGCGGATTTGTTAAGCGCTTCGTACACGGATCCAACGGATGCTGGAAGCCTACCCGAGGAGTTGGACCCGTTTCCAGAACTGCAGCTGGGAAATCCGCAGGGAGTGCCGACGGGCGACGAGTCGGCCCAGGCCCAGCAACATCATCAGCAGCCACCTCAGCCGCCTCAGCCGGCAGCGCCGCCACTTCCCGAGGACGTCCAGCCTGACTCGCTCAGGTACACTTCTCGTTGTTTCCCCTACCTGCATTTCACCCTCTGACCAGATAGAATCCTATCGCACGATAAATGATAAATCGTATCGGCTGATAGGATTATATTATCGTGACATAGTTGTACTTAAATCCGGCTGCTCGCCCGCCGAACCGATTCGAGATTGCACGAACGTTCAATTCTCGATAGTTGGAGGAGAGACGACAGTTTGACGTTTATATCCATCTGTCTGTTCGACGCAGTTCAACGCCCTTGCCGAGCTTCCAAGAGACATACACGGCTCAACGATACACCAGGCAGGAGCTTCAGGTTCTCGGGATCAAAATGGACGAGGGGGAGTGTTACGACAACTCGGTGTATCCGTGCGCAACCGGCCCCTACCCAACCGAGTTCTCGCCCACGTTGCCCTACCACGAGCAACAGCCCCAGCAACAGCATCACCATCATCCCCAGCAGCAGCAGCCCGCGCCGCCCCCGCCGCAGCAGCATCACCATCATCAGGGTTACTTCGCGACCGAGACGGCCCCAACTCCGACCACGGCGGTCCCCTCGCCGGCCAATCATCGGCAAGACTCGCCGTACGCCGCGGCGGTCAGCGTCCCCATGGTGTACGGTCCACCGCCGAGCATCGCGGGTGGTGCCACCCCCGTTGCACCGACCGACATTTACCCCACCGTCGACAACGTGGTCGTAGGGACGACCCGTTCACGGAGGGCGTCTCTACCCACGCAGAGGTCAGAGTCTGCGAGGTAATAATATACAAATAGACGAAATATCGATCGAACTCGTTTCGATTCTTCTTTGTCGTTCTTCGCCTCTTCTTTGACCGGGGCTCGATCTATTATCGCGAATCAATAAATTTTCGTCCTCTTGATTCCCTTGTTTGGCGAGAGAAAACGAATTCGACGAATTCCCTTCCGATTTGATCGTTTCGAGGGATGGGAGATTTGACGAAGATGCTTGTGTCTTTGGTCGACAGTAGTGGGAGCACGGAATCCCCGAAGGCGCGCGGTGGCAGCGGTGGCACAGGGAGCTCCGTCAGCTCTCCATCGCCTGGAAGTGGAACCAGCAACGAGCGAGCACCGCCGAGCCCCAGCCAACTTTGCGCCGTGTGCGGCGACACGGCAGCGTGTCAACACTACGGCGTTCGTACCTGCGAGGGTTGCAAAGGATTTTTCAAGAGGACCGTGCAAAAGGGCTCGAAATACGTGTGTTTGGCCGAGAAAGCTTGCCCCGTTGACAAACGCCGGCGGAATCGTTGCCAATTTTGTCGCTTCCAGAAGTGCTTGATGGTCGGAATGGTGAAAGAGGTGAGTGAGAATTACTCGAAAGTTTTTCCAAGAGAAGAAATATTCTCTTTGAAAGAAGAAAAAAAAAAAAAAAAGAAAGAATCAAAGATGTTAAAAAATTGAAAGGCTTTCGATCGAAGATGTAGATTTGATTTTGTTTTCGTTTCGTCCAGGTGGTGAGGACGGATTCCTTGAAAGGTCGGCGAGGTAGATTACCATCGAAGCCAAAATCCCCTCAAGAATCACCACCGAGCTCGCCGGTCTCCCTGATCACAGCTTTGGTCCGCGCACACTTGGACACGACACCCGATCAAGCAACCTTGGATTACTCGCAATACCGGCAACCCAGTCCTGGCGATCCACCCATCACAGAGGCAGAAAAGACGCAACAATTCTACAATCTTCTTACCACGTCCATCGACGTGATTCGAACGTTTGCCGATAAAATTCCCGGCTTCACGGATTTGGTGCGAGAAGATCAGGTTTGTACATATCGCTTATTTATTAATTATTATTAATTATTCTTTTCTTAATTTCTTCATCTATCCCTCTCGGATAATTTCTCGTCTCGTATATATAAATCTATAATACGCGAGCTGCGTTATATCGTTTATTATGTATGGACGTGCAGACAATATCTGCGAGGGAAGGTTTCATTAAAGAGATCGATAGCTTGTACATTTTCTAAAAGGTCAATCCTGACGAGCCTACGACATGTCTAATCGACGATCCGATTGGTCGGTTATCTAGCTGCTGTGCTAGCCAAACTAGGAAAATAATATTTTTTTCTTCTTCTTCCACTCTGCTTTTTCTCGAAACAATTTCAAAATTTCGATTTCCACTCGCAAAATATTTATAATATTTCGCGAAATATTAATATTCGTGTATTGTTATATATCGGTACACCTGATGATCTAACACGCGTTTTCGCGACTGTTCCTCTCCCCGTAGGAGTTACTTTTCCAGTCGGCCAGTCTGGAACTGTTCGTTCTTCGATTGGCGTACCGTACGAAACCGGAGGACACCAAGCTGACGTTTTGCAATGGCGTGGTCCTGGCGTTGGAACAGTGTCAGCGTAGCTTCGGCGATTGGCTCCACAGTATTCTCGAATTCAGCAAAGCTCTTCACATTCTCGACGTAGACGCTAGTGCTTTCGCTTGCCTCTGCGCCCTTACCCTCATTACTGGTAAGTTTCGAAGAGAACGAAACCGTTCCACCGCTTTTTCCAAACGAAACATATCACACGATTTTTCACTGCCCTGGCCTGCCCTCGTTTCCTATCTCCTCCCGTTCGATGATTATCCATTAAGCGCGACCGTCTGCCGGATAAATTATTTATCGATCGACCGGTTACTTATTAATGAGACGGCGAAAAGAAACCGCGATCGTTCGTGCCCGCGTCGTTGCACGCGATACACGTCGACGCGATTTTCCTCGCGAGTTGGACGTGCGTGCTCCTTCTCGATCGGTTCAACAACGATATATCGTGGAATACACGTGGATTGCACGCAACACCGCCTCTATTATCCTCCGCGTTTAAATTGGCCAGCGAATCTGGAAACGCACGATCCGATAATTAATTGCGTACGACAAATGATACACTCGGGCACGAAATCACACTCGGCCGGATGAAAGCATCGATTGATAAAATATTGGGGTCTGTTTCTCTTGTTGAAATTACAGCAAGGTACGGCCTGAAGGAGCCTCATCGCATGGAGCAGCTACAGTCGAAAATAATATCGTCTCTTCGCGATCACGTCACCTATAACGCCGAGGCGCAGAGGAAAGCGCACTACCTGTCCCGTTTGTTAGGTAAACTACCGGAACTGAGGAGTCTGTCCGTGCAGGGGCTCCAGCGTATCTTTTACCTAAAACTGGAGGATCTGGTTCCAGCGCCACCCATGATCGAGACGATGTTCGTCGGTAGTCTACCGTTTTAATCGCCTTTCAATCGAGCCAAGCCTAAGGCTGCGTATTCGTCGCGTAGAACAATTCATCCTTGAGATCTTGTGCGGTTGCGTTACTACTCGATTAAGTTTCCTTAAGTTTTCTTACGCGTGTACGTAGGTTCTACCATCTTCTTGCGTGTAACCCTTGTATGGTTTTCGCACGAGTGTCGACGCGCGAATCGTCACCTTAAGAGGGGTACAAACGAAGAGAGAGAGAGAGAGAGAGAGAGAGAGCGGATGAGAAGTCCTGTCGAAGATTCTGTCTCTCTCGAGGCTGACGTCTCCGCGTCTGGATGTTTTAGCGAAATATATAGATGCGTGTGTGCGGATGGAGCATCGTGCCGCAAGTGGACGTTGGAGTGGATGCACGCGCGAATGGACGAGCCGGAAGACGTTGGTTTGTCGCTAAATTTAAGACAAAGTTCCCTGTGCGTGTATGGATGAGAGACGGGTGGATGAACGGGGCGCGTGTCTTCGTGATGTGTCAGCGGGCAGATGTGACTGCCCGACCTGACAACTGTTACTATTGTTACTATTATTATTACCGCTATTACTATTTTAACAGTGTACGATGTAATAACTATTCTTGCTATCGAAAGTATCGACGCCCGAGCGATTGAAGGTGGAACCCGGTTTCTCGGCGGATTCTCGGGGAGGGGGTGGCTTCTCTCGGAGGAGGAACCTGCGGCAGCTTGAAACAAACGTTGGATTTCCCTTTTCGCGAGAGAGAGAGAAAGAGAGAGAGAGAGAGAAACGAGCGTGTTTCGTTATGCGTCGTCCCAAAAGGCGTCGTACGATACGTATGGGATGATTAATCACGACGTGGTGGTTCTCGTCGACTGGTAATATTAAGTGCTACGCTATATATTCTCGCAAAATATGCACAAAAGGAACGAAAAGAAAGAAAGAAAGAAAGAAAGAAAAAATAATAACGACGATATATACCATTATACCGTTATACACGTACATTATACGTACATTATCGTACACATGAATTTTTATCACTTTTCTACCTACTTTGTATAAGTCGCTACATCAACGAACAAAAAAAAAAAAAAAACTACGTTTCTTTCATCGCTCGTGCCGCAACGATCGTCCTCGAGGATCCGCTCGATCGGGATTAATTTCTCTTCTTTCAGTGCAGAAACAAACCGTGTTACTTACTCACTTACTTACTTGTTATAGTGGAAGAGAAGGAAGAGAGGTGCATTGACGATTCGCAACATATCAGAGCAACGACGGAAGAGCGGAGACAAGATATCACGAATACATTACACACGTGCTAATTCATATTCCTCCATTCATCCTTGGTCCTATCACCCCTTCCCTTCCCCCTCCCTTCGTGTAAATCAATTTCGCTCTTCCGACAGTTGACAGTTTAGATATACGTAGGTCGTGACTGTGATCACACTCGAACGTAGCGATGATGCTAAAAGAAAAAAAAAAAAAAAAAAAAAGAGAAAAAAAGAAGGGAAAAAAAAAAAATTCTCACTTAGAATTCTCCGCATTCCCCTATCTCCCTCCCTCCCTCCCTCCCTCCCTCCCTCCCGATTCTCTGTACTCGTATTCATTCGTAACTCGTATCCTTCGGCTTACTAGCTTCATCGATCCGAGGCCAATAGGTGCTCTCTAGCTTCCCTTCCTCTTGACCCTCGATCGCATGGAATTTAGTATCATTGGAAACGTGTGAGTGTCTTCCAAGTCACGTGGTCGGGACCCGTTTCGGTCCGAACAATTACCACACTATATTCTTGCGTTAATGTGATTTTAGACAGCTAAGGGAGAAGAAGTATGAGGTAGGGCCCGAATCAGGCCGATTCGGCTGCGCGATCCGCGTCCGAAGACGAGTAATCGAGAGAGAGAGAGAGAGAGAGAGAGAGAGAGAGAGAGAGAGAGAGAGAAAGAGAGAAAGAAGCGAAGAGTAGAATTCGTCGAGTTTCGCATCCACCGACCGATCGGCAGCGGCTTCGTTACGGGCCCGGCATAAAGTTACCTATTACGTTATGACATTTATTTTTAATCAAACTAACGTAGAAAATCCTATTTATACGTATACCGCGCCGCTATTACTACTTATACTATTACTTGCTACTTAATTACTTAATATTAATTAACTACTACTTACCGCTAGCGTTACGATCTTATAGCGTTACTTGTCGCTACTACCGCTGTTACCATCCGCTACCTTTTTATTACCACCTTTGTGTTACCATTAATTATTGCTAAATGCGTAAGAAACATGATCGACGTTAAAACACTTCTTCGCCGCTGCAATATCAAGAAAGAAGATATATATATATATATATATATATACATATATCCTTTGGATATAGAGAGAGAAAAAAAAAACTATCAATTCTGGAACGGATTGCACTGACTCGCGACTCCAAGCAAGGAAATAAATAGATGGAAGGATCCATCTATGATACCATCTCGAGGAATGTATCGGATTGATAAGTGATCAAGGAATCGTTGGGTTGACGCAATCTTTCCATCACGGGCACCCTTATCAAATGGCAACCCTAACTGTTCGGCAATAATACTTTCCTCTTTTATGTGTATATCACTTGTCAACGTTAAAAGTACAGCCCAGTAAACCCGATCCAACGGATACAGCGTTTACGTCACACGATTACATTAAATCTCTTAGTGCACCTAATTTCAGAAAGGCACAAATCCACGTGGCGATCCGCCATTTCGTGAATCTTTTAACTTATCGAGAGGCAGAAAACACGATACATAATTAATGTGCACAATAGATATAAAATAATTATATGTGTATATGTTATACTCGCCGTGTGTATCCGCAAATGTTCAATGCTTCAATCAAGGAAATAGAGGATTCGATCATTCTCGATTTTCCTCGTTCGATTTCTGCGCAACCATAGTTCCTTCTAAAAAAATCGAGCTTCGTCTCTTTTTTTTTTTCTATTCCTTTTCTTTCTTTTTCTTCTTCTTCTTCTTCTTCTTCTTCTTCTTTTTCTTTTCTTTTTCCTCCTCTCTTAACATCGTTTTCGATCCATTGTTTATTCGGTACCGTTTCTTGCGTAAGAGTTATCGATCCCTTAGTAGCCATGTAAGAGCTTCCGTTTAACGATCTCTCTCGTTACGGAAGAATACACGGAGAAAAGAGTGATAAACGTGATCAAGCTCAACATTGAATCGACCTTCGAGCAGATTTAACGTAATTCAAGTTTTCAAATGAACGCTCGCGATTAAGTCGCGCGAGTAAGTAACGATTAACAAACAACACTTTTCCCCGTGTAAAAATCGTGCTTCAACTTGGCGTTGGCCACGTGTGTGAAAACGTTTGCGGATGGATACGATCGCAGATGTTCGGTGAAACGGAAGAACAATATAATGCCCGGCAAGAAAGCAAGGTACAAGTAATCCGAAAAGGGGGCACGAACAATCTCGTGTTCCCGTTTTCGAAAATTAGGATAACGCGATAGGAAGCGGACGATCTCCAATTCGTCGATTTTCTTTTAAAATTCTCGTCAATTCCCGTTGGATCAATGCGATCAATGCGTCCTTTCCGAGGAAGCGTCCGAATTGATCCGTACTTTTGATCCACATACTTTTCGGATTACACGTCAGGGAAAGAATAATCGTACGTTTCCTTCGTGTGCGTATAGCGTACATGCATCGAGTCCAGAAGAGATTTAGAGGCTGAAAAGGAATTCGTCAAATTAATACGGTGCTATTAGGCTAATTGTGATTAACGAACGCTTAATGAATTCGAGAGTACTTAAGTTTCTTGTCCCGTTGCATTCAGACAACGGGGGAAGAATATTTTTGTTCCTATTACTTAAGAAAATTAAAGGAAGCATCGCGAAAAGTTTCCAATCCCCTATTGGAGTGGAAACGATTTTATCTCGTGATTGACGTTCTCCGATTACGAATCCATCAGATCTTTCCTGGACTCAACGCTGATCGGCGTTGCATTGTTTCTTTTTTTTTTTTTTTTTTTTTTTTACGATGCCACTTACGTGTAAAAAAGCGCGCGCGCTTTCCCCGCGATTCAGGGGGAAGTGATTAGAACAAGAAGAAATTCAAGAAAATGATCAAGCAATCGTAGATTTAAAGAAAGAAAAGGAGACAAGAGAAAAGCGAAACAGGATGAAATAAAAAAAGAAAAAAAAAAACAAACAAAAAAAAAACAAGGGAATCTCGGATCGTTCGAACGTAGAAATATCTCGAATGAAGAACGAGGTCGTAGTATTGTTGTTACTTATTAATTGTCATCGCTGTAAAACGAAAAAAAAAAAAGGCCAATTCCATTAGGTGTATTTTATCCTCTTCCCTCGATGTAATAATAAATGTTCAATCAACGGATGATTTCACTTTTTTTTTTTTGAGTCGTCTTTTTTTTTTTTTCATTTTGGAAAAATAAAATTGAATGTTGCAATGTGGTACGTTCGATTTTCTGCGCGAATCGCGGATGTCTATAATCGAGGAGTTCGAAATCGGAACTCGTTCCCTTTCCGTCCAAATTATATGATAGAAAATTTCCATCTTCGCAATCGAGCGTTGTATCGTTTCTCCTTCCCTGATCGGATTTTATAAAATTATATAACGAGAAAAAAGAAAGAAAGAAAAGAAAAAGAAGAAATAAATAAATAAATAAATGGCAGACTCTCTCGTTTTCGTGGACGGACGTTTCTACAACGATCGATCTGTACTTTGCCGTACGAATATCCGCGGATACAGTTATGTACACTACTTGCACGATTACAAAGCACGTACCGGAAGTGATAGATATTGCACCAAAAATAAATGAATAAATTTATACACGCCCAATGTATCCGCGCGATCTGCGTTGGTCAAATAAATCTGTCGGTCATCAAGCACGTCGAAAGGATTCGTAAGATATAGAATAGGAGAGCAAGCAGGGAGGAAGTAGAGCAGGGCAGAAGGGAAGTAATGGAAATATGGAAAGGCAAAATGGAAGTAATGGATAAAAAAATAATGCCGATCAATAATAATGTCGATGTGTATTGACGGCCGTACAATTGAAAAGGAGGTGCGAATTATTGAAATCGATCGATAATTCGCCGTTAATTTAATCAAGTACAATCTGTGTTCTCCTTGCAATTTGTTCATCAACGACAATAAAAGGAATTGCAAGGGAAGTTTCCCGACCACCGGCCTTTTCACCCCTACGACCGTCGATATTTAGCAACACCGTTCTAACATTACGTTCTATTAACAATTTGTAAAATATTCTAAAATATTCAAGATGTTTTACAATGCGCGCACATTCACGAAACCTTTTTCCGCGGCCTGATTCAATGTAATTTTGTGCCGAATCACATACAGTTCCCTCTCGCTTGATTAATATATGTAGCCATATATATGTATATTTATATATATATGTACATATTTATATACATATATAATGCATATACATAATATATGATACGATATAATATAATATAAAATGATATAATATATAATTATTATTATTATTATATATATATATATATACTTATAAATATATAAATATAATGAAATAATATAAATAAATAAATATATTATATATACTTTCGATATGCGAACGAGAAAGCAATTCAAAGGCATGACGTGAGAAAAACAAAAAAACACATTGCGACCATTATATTTTATAAATAAAAGAAAAATTGATATGTGATATAGATGGTAAGGCACGCGGACAATGCGTTGCGATGCATTACGAAAGCAAATGTATTCTGTATATCGTTTCATTAAATCTATTAAAATAACCGATGCTCTTTCTTTTTTCGTTTCAGTATCTTGGTCTGTTCAGTGACGTTGCATTGTAACTCATTGATCAGTTTATACAAAATGAAACAGGTATTCGAAGTTGTCTATAATCTTTAGGGAATCTAACGGTTGTCGAGGGTCTTGTATTTTGTGTAACGTACACCTGGCGTTTAATACCAGTCTTGAAACCCGTAATTTTCAAAATTCTTCTTTTCAAATTTTATTTATTACAGTAATTGATCGATATTTATTATATTTTATTTATTTTTTTCAGATGAAAAAAAAAGAAGGATTAAAAAGGAGATATGAAATTGAAAGAAAACGCTTTCTTTGTCGTTTGTATTAAATTATATATTATGAAAAAAATTAAATTTATATAATTTTTTATATTTTTTTATCTTTTCAAGAACATATATTAAAACAAATTTTTTCCTCTTATTAATTCTATATTTACGAAATTATATCTATTAAAATAGAAATATAATTTATCATAATTTAATAGCAGACTGCTAATTTCAATATGTATGATTTCAAAATTAACCGGCATAACGGTTACATTCAGCACGCTTGCGTGAGAGCGCTGGCAGCGCGCGCAGATGGCGCTTGTTATCTATGTACGCATGCGCGAAACAAATTTCGCACGGCGCACAAAGAAAATAGTCCGCGCTCGCAGAGACACGACGATCACTTCGAGAAACGTGACACTCGTGACAGTAGTTTTACAACATTTGTGAAATTTACGGCGGGGTCTAAAGGAAGTAACCGATCGGTACAAATCGTACGTCGAGCATATTAATGGTCAAGAAATACGTGTATACGTAGGCGCGAGAATATCAAAAGGAGTTGATATTACTACGCCGCACGTTGTGGAAGGAAGCAGAAATCGAGTACTAGCAGGAAGTGGGTAGAAGGGGGTACGTCGTTGAGCTAGTTGATTCGGTGGTGGCTACATGTGGCTGTCCGCCGGTCGCGACAACGAGACATTTCCTATTGAGGCATAAAAAGTTACATTTTCCAACGGAAATCGATAGTTGAAAGAAGCCGTAATCATGCAAATGGATCCAACGACGGTGCAACTTATCCAGGTTCTAGAGAGAACAGTCTCATCAGGTAACTCGTTTTGATTAATCAGTTTTTGAGTTATTGGCGACATCATAAAATCTCGACTATTCTTTTTCATTGACTTCGATCCCTTAACCTTGCTATCTCTCTTGTTTTGTGAAGCATTCTTTCTTTTTTTCGAATGCTTCTTATCATTTCCACGACCTGCCTGAAAAAGTAAAGTCCTATTGCGTGCGCGTCCTTTTCGTACTTCTTTTCGTGTATTCATGGAGTATCTAGTATCATTGTTAATTAACGGTTTCATTGATCCATCTGGAATTTTTTGCCCGTAATATTCAAGTATTTGATCGGAATCTGTTGTTTTTACGAAAATACGTCGTATTGTGTTCCGCTTGGCTGTTGCTAGGGGCTTTGTTCATGGCCGGAAAAGTATTGTCCCATGTGACGGTTACTCGTACTGCACGTCCCCGTTGTCGGTTGGCACAACGAGTACTTACTTGTGCATCTTGCTTTTCTAACCTCTATTATTAATTTCCATTTTTTTTTTTTTTTAACACGATATTAAACGAGATAATATATAGAGAATATAATATTGATTAAATGCATTTTTATTTGCAATTTTAGACAAAAATGAATTGGAAGCAGCTCAGAATTTTCTGGAGCAAGCGGCAAGGACTAATCTCGTAAGTTATTTTTTTTTCTAGTGACAAATGTTTCTTCAAATATAAAAATATATAAAGAGGTTATAAAGAAAATTATTTATTTTCTTTTTAGCATGAATTTTTGCAAAGACTTAGCAGCGTACTTGTTACTGCTGCTGCAAGCCCTGTTGCTCGTATGGCAGCAGGTCTTCAGCTTAAAAATCAACTTACATCCAAAGATCCAGACCTAAAATATCAATATCAACAACGTTGGCTTGCGATTCCTGTAGAAACAAGAGAATATATTAAGAAAAATGTAAGAAAAATTTTTTCGTTTATTTGTAAATTTTATTTCTAAATAAAATTTCTAATAAAATATTTCTATTTCCAATTTTAAATTTTTCCTATGTTTAAATAGCAAAAATATTTATTTTATATATATTTATGGATAGATTTTTGGGGCACTTGGAACAGAGAACAATAGGCCAGGTTCTGCACCACAGTGTGTTGCATACGTAGCTGTTGCTGAATTACCTGTTCGTGAATGGACCAATGTTATTCAGCTGTTAGTTAATAATGTTGTAAATCCAAACAGTACAGAAATGTTAAAGGAAGCAACTCTAGAAGCCATTGGTTATATTTGTCAAGATATAGAAAGCGACGTTTTGGTACCTCAGTCTAATGAAATTCTCACAGCTATTATTCATGGTATGAAAGGATCTAGTACTTCGCATTATGTTCGTCTTGCAGCTACAAGTGCACTCTACAATTCATTAGAATTTACCAAAGGAAATTTTGAGATAGAGGTTAGTATAATTATAATAATAGGATATAATAAATACTTTTTTTAATAAAAATATATTATTTATTTTTATTCCTTATGTATACAGACAGAACGAAACTTCATTATGGAAGTGGTATGCGAGGCGACGCAATCTTTAAACACACAAGTTAAAGTAGCAGCATTACAGTGTCTTGTGAAGATTATGTCGTTATATTATCAATATATGGAACCTTATATGGCTCCGGCACTTTTTCCGATTACTTTAGAAGCTATGAAATCAGATATTGATGAAGTTGCACTGCAAGGAATTGAGTTTTGGTCAAATGTATCTGATGAAGAAGTAGATTTAGCCATGGAAGAAGGTGAAGCCTCCGATGGTGGTCGACCGCCGGTCAAAGTATCGAGGCATTATGCAAAGGGTGCTTTGCAATACTTGGTACCTGTTCTGATGAAGAAACTCACTAAACAAGAAGAATTCGATGACGAAGACGATTGGAATCCTTCAAAAGCAGCTGGAGTATGTTTGATGTTATTATCATCTTGTTGCGAAGATGCCATTGTTCCATTCGTTTTGCCGTTCATCAAAGACAGTATCAAAAGTCCAGATTGGAGGTACAGAGATGCTGCTTTGATGGCTTTTGGTTCGATTCTCGGTGGCGTCGATCATGCCACCTTGAAACCTTTGGTAGAGCAAGCAATGCCAACACTTATCGAACTAATGTACGATAGCAGTGTCGCGGTAAGGGATACAGCTGCATGGACGTTTGGTCGAATTTGTGAGATCATACCAGAAGCGGCGATTAGTGAGACATACCTGAAACCATTGTTAGAAGCTTTGATAAATGGTTTGAAGGCAGAACCTCGTGTTGCAGCAAACGTTTGTTGGGCATTTACGGGTCTTGCAGAGGCTAGTTACGAGGCCGCTGAAAGTTTAGAAGGGCAAAATCCAGAAACTTATTGCATGTCTCAATACTTTGATTTTATTATTCAGAGATTATTGGAAACAACAGATCGTCCGGATGGAGCTCAAGCTAACTTAAGGTCAGCTGCATACGAAGCACTAATGGATATGGTAAAAAACTCTCCGCGCGATTGTTATATAACCGTGCAGAAGACGACGATGGTAATTTTGGAAAGATTGCAGCAGGTACTGCAAATGGAGACACATATCCAGAGCCATTCGGATCGTGCTCAATACAACGATTTACAATCGTTGTTATGTGCAACTTTACAATCCGTACTGCGTAAAGTTACACCAGAAGATGCTCCTCATATCTCTGATGTAATAATGACAGCGTTATTATCCATGTTCAATTCGAATTCTTGCAAAGCCGAGGGTGTGCAGGAAGATGCTCTCATGGCTGTATCGACTCTGGTCGAAGTGCTAGGAGAACGTTTCTTAAAGTACATGGATGCGTTCAAACCCTATCTTTGCCTTGGTTTAAAAAATTATGCAGAATATCAAGTTTGTTGCGCTGCGGTAGGTTTGACTGGTGATATCTGCCGCGCCTTGAAGAGCAAGATGTTACCTTACTGCGACGAGATTATGACCCTGTTGCTAGAAAATCTTAGCAATGATTCGGTTAATCGTTCTGTGAAACCTCAAATCTTTTCTGTTTTCGGTGATGTTGCTCTTAGTATTGGTCCAGAATTCAAGAAATACTTGGATGTAGTACTTCAAACGTTGGCTCAGGCTTCCCAGGCGAACGTGGATAGAAGCGATTATGATATGATCGATTATTTAAATGAATTACGCGAAGGTGTTCTTGAGGCTTACACTGGTATAGTGCAAGGACTACGTGGTGACGAAACAAATCCTTGTTCAGACGCTGCGATTGCTTTGGTGGAGCCGCATGTACCCTTTATCATTCAGTTTATTACATCAATAGCTCAAGATCGTGAACATTCCGAAGGCAACATTTCAGCCTCGGTGGGATTGCTTGGTGATTTGGTCACTGTTTTCGGAGTAAAACTTTTGCCAATGGTTGAGACTGAACCGCTTACAGAGCTCTTAACTAAAGCTAGACGATCACGCATTGATAAGACCAAAACTCTGGCCAACTGGGCAACTAAAGAGATTCGAAAGCTCAAGAATGTTGCTAATTCCACATCTAGTTGGTGAGTAATTTTTTTGCTGCATCAATAATCTTATTTCCCCCTTCCTGCCTTTTTTTTTTTTCTTCTTTTTTTTATAACATCGATTATTTTAGTGTGGATTATGTGTGATGCGTGTATATTTGATCACCTATTATCCATATTAATTTATTTATTATTCTCATTCTTTACTATTGCATCTTTCTCCATTTGATGCTATCACCCTAAGCTGTTTCTCTATAATATTTACATACTAAGAAAGATTAACTTCTCGACGAACGATTTTAATGATATATATATATCATTATTATATATATATTATCATATATATATATATATATAGTTAGGAAATATAAAGAAACAAGAAAGACGAGTGTATATAGTATTAAAGAAGTAAACGTGCAACATAAATGGATGGTGATGAAAATTCGTGAACAACACTATAACAGTTTGATTCTGGAAATTGGAACAAGCTATAATTCTTTCTTTTTAAAAGAAAGAAAAATTTGTTTAAATATTCCAGTCATGATTATTATATTTTATTTTCGTTTAAAAAAAAGAATTATAACTTTTCCTACACAGTTTCGTTTTGTCGTTATTATATTATAATCCCATTTGTGTCGTGATCCCGATCCATGTACAGACACGTGTATTCAACAACACAGAGAATCCCATTTATAATAGTAAAAATTTGTTTAAAAAAGAAAAGAAAAAAAAAGAAAAAATTAAAATAAAAATTATTAAAAAATACGCATAAAAAAAAATATGCAAATACATACCGAGCAGTGAGCGACGGTTATTGATATTTGGCTCGCTTTTATTGTTTACAGATCACCCCACGGTTGTACTGTCGTGCAATTTGATTTGACTAGAGAGCTATCGAACACAATACAAAGACAACAAGATTGGATGGTGCGGATGCGAGTTGATGGATGTGCGTGAGTTTCGAAGCGATGACGATGATGGGGTGATGAATCTGCACGTGTCCCTGCTCTGGCGACGGTATTCGAGTACCGACACGTTGAGCACAACCCCAAATGGTCGAGAAAATAAATACCTGTCTGCCGGATGTCTGCCGACAACGGATGATGAGGAGTGCAAGTGGATGTTGCCGATGAATGAGCCAAGGCCGAAGTCTGCCGAAATGTTCCGGTGATGCAAGTATGCCTGATAACGAGCCTGGGGCTTCTACCCGCGTGATTGAGAAGTTGAACCTGAGGAAAGGACGACTTCGATGGACGATGTTCGTGGCCAGTGAGAGAGAGAGAGAGAGAGAGAAAGAGTGTGTGAGAGAATGAGAGAGTGAGAGAGAGAGAAAGAGAGAACGTGTATGATTGTGAAAGAACAAAAGAAGTGAGAAGAAGAACACGCAGGGAAACCAAACGAGAGAGAGAGAGAGACTGCAAAGCTGTGAAAGTATGTATTCTAATAATTGAACGTAAGAATGATTTATTAATTTGTATGCGTGTTAGATCGCAGAGAGTCTGTGTGTAAGTATAAAATAAAACTTCACTATTGAATGAGCGATTATACACACATCGTCTCGTCGAGAAAGTTCAATTATGCGTAACTCGTTGTAAAGCTTCTAGCTTTTTTGTCCTCCTGTAGCTTTGTCAACGAAGCCCGCGATCTGTTTCCGATTCCTTGCTGAACGATCACACCATCACTCGTTTGAAGCAATCGAAGCATCATCGAATGACTGTTTTTTGGGGTAACTTGAAGTTAATAAGCGAAATAAATGATCGTCAGAGTGCTGGTTGCTACTGGTTGATGGAGCGAAGTGATGCATGAGTGATAGTAAAACTTAACAAGAAAGAGAGGGCGAGAGAAAGTAGTATGAAAAAAAAGAATGAATGCGTATGAAGACTGTCACGAATGATTCTCTGAAGAAAAAAAAAAAGATTCGAAAGATTCGAAATACTAGTGAGACCTCTGGTCCGATCGTGCTGCGCGAGAATCTATATGATTAGTTGTAGTATGATGATGATGATGATGTTGATGATGATGATGATGATGATAATGGTGATGATGATGATAATGATGATGATGATGAAATGATGATGATGATGATGATAATAATGATGATGATGATGATGATGATGCGTATGTTACTTTTTCCCCCGTATGTGAATGTCTGTTGCTGTTGATTCATTAAAATTAATATTTTGCTGGCATAAGTTATTGAGTTGTACCGAAGTCCTCGTCCGGCCTGAACGTTCGAGTAAAAAGAAGTGAAAAGAAAAAGAAACTATACACGATCCAGTCCCAAAATATATTATACATGTACAATTATTCGCATACAAATGTAATCCTTTGCGTGAAAATAATTTTATGCGATCATCGTTAATTCGAATCTTTCGCGGCTCTCCAACGGAATATCGGACGAGAGTCTTTTGCACTGCCATTAATATTGAAACAATGCTGCATGCGTCTTGTTCAGGCGTTCATGTAATAAGATCGTTCGTTTCTTCCTTGATATTTGATGGGCTCGATGATATCGAGAACTCGTTTCGCGTGGGTGTTTGTCGAACAGATTCGTCTTCCTGGCCTCGCATTATTGAAGTCGATGAAAAAGAAAAAAAAATATATATATATATATACATATATAACGATAGCGATTGCTCATTTCTATTCGCACGTTATTCCGTAGTATTGGAAAATGGATACACGGTGATCGCGTAAATATCACGAGTAATTGAATTTCGAAAGAAAATGATTGATACGAACCCAAATATTATCAGAGTTACTTTCGTAAGCTACTCCAAGATGATAAAATCGAACGAGTTGTACACGAATAGATAGATAAATTTGTTCAAGAACTTTGGACATTGGACTGGGAATATTTCAAATGCCTGGTCGCGCAAGGATTACACAGCTTGAAATATGTATTTCTTTTCTTATCTACAACATTATATTTTTCCTCGTTACACGAACATTTCGAATCTTGAAATGAACGAGACGTCACGTGAACATAGGAATGTCTCGGGATCCTTTCACGGCACAGATATTTTTCTTATTTTCTCGAACACTTCCTCGCGAATTTCCACAGTAGTTTCGCCTCTGTTTGCGCACGAACGCGATATTTAGTAAGATATTACGCGAAGAATTAAGCGGACGGTCGGGCGCTCTAATAATATAATACGAAGTTACGTCACGTGGTCGAAACGTGGCTGTCTAGTGCCATGCATTCCAAATACTTTTGCCAGCGGAAGCACACTGTGACCGTTCTTTCGGATATATTTTATAGCGATTTCATTCTATCTAACTAACACACATTTTCCTTGAATGCCTCGTTTACGCAAAGCTTTACGTACAGACACGATAGCGAACAGAGAAAGAGAGAGAAAGAGAGAGAAAGAGAGAGAGAGAGAGTGTGTGAGAATGGGGGAGTGAGAGAGGGAGAGAAAGAGAGAGAGAGAAAGAGGATATTATTAAAACGATGATCGCAGCGAGATTCGAATTGAAATCTAGGCTGGGGGATGATATCTTCACCGAAGGAACCGCGTGGAACGGGGTAAACGTGTTTCGACGGAACAAACACATAAACGAAACAATACAAAAAACATTCGAGTAAAAATGAAAAATAAAGAAAGAGAAGAAAGAAGAGGGGAAAAAAAAAAAAAAAAAAAAGGGAAACAAGATTGGCGTGAGAAGAAGAAACGCGCGAAAGGACAAATAGGGAATTGACGAGAAACGATTGTAATCTAAGAGACTTTTTATTAAATTGATTATCTTTTTTACGATTTTACATATCGAAGGAAACCAATGTGTCTGCTCCACGTCTGGATATAAAAATAAATATATATACGTATATAATTTTTTTACTGTTGCGAACGATATTGCCAAACTTAGCGTATAAGGAAGAGAAACGTTTATCTAGCTTTAAAAAAAAAAAAAAATAATAATAATAAAAAAGAAAGGGATGAAAAAAGTAACGAAAGAGAAGAGAGAGAAAAGAAATGGGGGTAGGGATAAAAATCGTTTCGGCGAGCCGCTCGTTACGTAGACTGGAGCCTAAACCTTGATCTCTTTGCGATACACAGCCGTACACACACAATACAAACACAGACAAATATATACTAATGCAAATTCTTCTCCCGTACATTGTTTTATCTCGCGTTGGATCCTTTCGATTTCGAAGCAGAACGAAATTCTCGCAAACGAAACACGGTGTCTTCCAATCGCGACAATTTCTCCTCCTACGAAAAAAATTAAAAAAAAAAAAAAAAAAAAAAAAAATACAGCTTTGCCTTACAGTTTTCGTGATGACGGGAATGTCTGTCATCGATCTACCAAAGCCGATATCTCGATGAGTCCAAAAAAAAAAAAGGAAAAAAAAAAAAAGAAAAAAAAAATAAGAAACGAAAGTTTTCAGAAAAAAATGAAAAAAAAAAAGGAAAAAACGAAACAATGAAAACGGTTTATTCCGAGTGTCCAAAGAAGAAACATGTAAAATGCCGAGGCGCAAAGTGTATCCTGTTTTTCTTTTACATTCCACGTAGCAGAGAGAGTAGAGAGAAAGAGAGGACGTAAGAAAAAAGAGCGAGAGAAGAGTGGAAGAACGAGAGAGAGAGAAAGGATGTGGATATGAAAGGGGGAATGCGAGGAAGAGAGAAAGAGAGAGGAACCACGACGGAGAGGACGGCGGTGCGCGCGACTTTCCGCACGTCTCGATAAAGAACTCGATCGCTCGCCTGTTATTCTGATTCGCAAACAATGATGCGTTTGATCGCGTTCACCGTTCCTTACAGGCTATCTCCGAAATGGGTGGTCAAATTTTCAGAAACCTTCTACCGGTCGTTCAGGATGAGAAAGCGTGTCTCCTTTTCAATACGTCCCTTTTTGTCCTTACGACGAGTAAAACGTGTACAAAAAAGAAAAATTTAGCTACCTATTTTAGAAGCAGACTGTACGTTAATTAAATCAACATGCGATTATTCTTTTCACGTATAATAAAAAACGTCTATTCAATGCGCTATCAAAAAAAAAAACGAGGTATTCGTATAACGAGTATTTCGTTCATTTTCGGTTATCCTCTAGGTGGTCGTTGCGAATCACATTATCAGGTCCGCCAAGAGGGGCAAAAAAAAAAAAAAAGATTTAAAAGGAATTATAAGGAAAGGGAAAAAGAGAGAGAGAGAGGGAGAGAGGGAGAGAGAGAGAGAGGGATTGCGAAACATGCGAAGATAGGGAATAGGGAATCGGTGGATTGGCCCATGAAAAAAAAAGGGCAAAAGGTAGGAAACTAGGAAACGAAACGCCGGCCGTGCCGTGATGGAAGTAACGAGTTGTGAAAATGAGGAATACGAAGAAAGCAAATTATATTATAATACGCGACTGTGATTTTTTGGAGAGACTCTCGTGTGCGAGGGGTCGATGTTCTACCCGAAAGGGAGGGTGGCTCTGGGTGATCCATGTCCTATCCTATCGATCGATCACCGATCTCGACCGTAGCGGATATCGCTCTCCATTGTTCAGCATAATTATCTTTTTAGTCCTATTATCTCTTATTAATGGAAGAATGTTTCGCTGCTCTACGTTTCGAGCTAGCCTAATGCGCACACGTATACTATATTGTATTTAATAAATAAAGAAGAAGAAGAAGAAGAAGAAGAAGAAAAAAAAAAGGTAACGAAGGGATATACGACGTTACACGAGATCGTTTCGAAAGAGAGGGGTTTTCCTTTATATATCCTTGACGCGATCGAGGGAACGAGACACGATTAGAGCCACGCTCCTGGTAAGAAACTCATACACGATAATATCTTATCGAACTATTAGTTGTTAGCCTTTTCATCGTCGAGACTCCTAGAGTGCGTGCGATGCTTCACTAGGGAACGTACGTGAGAGCGTATTTAATTATAAGAATTATTCAAAAAGAGGAAAAAAAGAAAAAAAAAAAAAAGATGAAAACCGTGTGCATTACGCTGTATCAGTGATGATGTGCGCTGTGAGGTAAATCGCATATTTACCGATGAAGTGTGCCCTGTTAGAGTGTTATCTGCGTATGGAGAAAAAACGGCGAGAAGAACGAATGAATCCGAGAGTACGAGTAAAAATGATCAAGTGAGAAAGAGAGAGAGAGAGAGAGAGAAAGTGCGAGTGAGCGAGCGAGAGAAAAAATACAAGAGAGAGAGAGAGAAAATATTTATGATATTGATGAGGTTTGAGGGATGATGAGAAGAGTTGGCTCGTGATTCGACGTGAATCGCGGCGTCACGTTCGGGAAGGGACGAATCGTCGATTTGTAAAAAAAAAAAAAAAAGAAATAAAGAAAAAAAATAAAAGAAGAAACAAAGGATGGAAATAAGAAAGAGAAAAGAAAAAAAAAATATAAATTTTGTATCGTGACGCGGTTGTGAAGATCGGAGAACCTGTCACTGAATCCGTTGCCCCTTGCGTTTCGCTGAGATTTTAGCGCAACTTAAGAGAACGAGATCACAGGCGGACAAAAAAAAAATAAAAAATATAAGCATATTACATTACGAATGACAATGAAGACGATGACAAACGGCGATGCGAAACAAGATGATTCTCCACGCAGATAACGCAGATAAATTATTTTTCGAGTGGATTTCAGCGACGCTTGGCCCAGCGCAGTGTCTCCGTTCTTGAGAATATATTTCGAACCGCGGTGCCGTTGTACGTACGAGACAATATTTTCGATAATATTTTTTAAATCGAACCGCGAAACACGAAGCCAACCCGTGTAGACCTGTTGTTGTTCCAAAGCAGAGAAATTGCACGGTGATGGCATACGCATCGAAGATCGATCGATCGTGCGTTATCTATATAGAGCTTCGTGTGTGTACCACGGTTGATCCGTATCTTCTCCATATTTTTGTTTTTGCGATTTTCGACCAATTGCGTCGGGACAAAGCGTGCCGTTACCGTGCATACCGTGTGATTTAAAAAAATAACTAGAGAATTAAAAGAGAAGCAAACGAAAAAAAATTAAATAAAAAAAATACAAAAAAAAGAGGTGAATAACGAGAGAAAGAGAGAAAGAAAGAGAGAGAAAAAGAGAGGAGAACCGAAAGAAAAGCAAAAAGTGAGCGTGTGAGATTGACTTTTTTGTGGCGATATGTGGAAAAACAGAGAGAGAGAGAGAGAGAGTGTGCTGTCGAATGCTGCCGATCGACGATCGGACCAAACATTATATAATTTACGCATGTGAACAATTCGAGCGATAAATGTGGGTTGAAGCAAAAGCAAGCAAGCAAGAAAGAAAGAAAGAAAGAAAGAAAGAAAAAAACGAATAAACGAGAACACGAGTTGGATGAAGTCCTATTTAGCCTGCCACTTTGTAATTTGCTCACCCTCTCCAATTTATTTCCTAGAGGTTGATTTTTAGATCGACCGAATCACTAATAAAAAAAAAAAAAAAAAGAAAAGATAAAAAGTAAAAAAAAAAAAAAAAAAAAATTAGCTGCAGAAATTTGAAAAATCCATCATGTTTTTTGGCCTATTCTTACTACATTTAACTGATCCATTTCTCGTATATAATAAATTTAGCGTAAAACCTACGAATTTTGATTCATACGATCGCAAGGCGTGCCTTTTGATGCTCTCGACAGTGTAATTTCTTTTCGAGATTCGTACGAGGAAAAGATCTTACTTTCCACACAGGGAAACGAAAGCTTCGTTTAAGCGAGAAAATACTACTAGTCTCTTATCGTATAATTATCAGGGAAGATAAAAGTTCAAAGTAGAGATTAACGTTCTAACGAGAAAACTTTATTTTTACTACGCATAAAAGAAGAATCTTAGCGGTGCATGCTTAGGAAGACTTGTTTTTTTATTTCCTCCGTTTCTTGGGAAAATTTCAACGATGATTTGCCACGTAAAAATATTCTAGAATAGGAGAGGGTGCGCATATCTACGTAGAGCGAGATATTTACGTATTTCTTTCGTTTTTTTTCGGTTCGTATCAATCGTGTGGTTTGCGGAGCCTGTGTTCTGTGAAGATTTTCAAATGACAACGATTATATGTGACACATCGGCTACATCGCTTATCTGAGTGCTAGAGCGATCGTGGAATGATTGGAGGACGATTCTTTTGGAAAATGTGTTCGAAGGTGTATGATCGGTCATGTTAATAGATCAACGGAGAATTTAATTGCGCAATGAAAAGAGGGAAAGAATAAAAGTATATATATATATAAAAAAAAAACGAAAGATTAATGTTAACAAGTTTCAACGGTCATATAAACAAATTCATTAGCTTTTCATATTTTTCGCGTTGATATCTTCTTGTATCCCGCGTTATCTATTGGAACGTGAATATTTCTATAAATATGTGTCAGCCTTCTCCTCCAATCGTTAATATGGCTGGTCGTACTCTGTCACTGTGCATACGAGAAATGATTATACGAATCGCCAAGCGACAGTGCCATACGATTAATTGAACGAGAGAAATCATTTCGATTATTAACATCACGATTTTCATCGTTCTGAGAGAAAAAAAAAGAAAAAAAAAAAAAAAAAAAAA